TCTCTCTCTCTCTCTCTCTCTCTCTCTCTCTCTCTCTCTCTCTCTCTGTCTCTTCAGCAAGAATGTCTGCCATAAGAAACATAAGATTTCTCCAGCACCAAGCATAGCTTCACCTCTGAACCTTTTACTGCAGTACAGGGAACCGAACTCAGGCCCACACACTAGGCTAGGCAAACACTCTACCCCTGCGATACAGCTCCAATCCAAGCCCAGCCTGAATGCAGACACCTATGACTCAGTCCTACTGCACTGCTGAGGACATCTTTCCTGATTCAGTCAGACATGGAAGAATTATTCTAAAGAGTGGAAATACCTAATTCAGAGGTCCCAAGGGAAAGAGTTGGTAGGAAATAAAAGGCCAGCATCCTTGGTAGGTTGGTGGGTTTGGGCTGGAAGCATCAGACTACCCTGGTATGAATCATGCCCGTATATATTGCTAGGAAGGCACTTACATGATTCAAAGTTTCCGCGGGGCTTGGGGGAAAAAAAATAATGAGAAACATCTGTTGGAGAGGGAAGCAGCTGCTCACCCACTCCCATCCCCCAGTTTCAGTACCCTGAGAGGATGCTGCCCTGGGAAGGACTCCCCAACACCTGCTGCTTCCCTGCCCCCATCAATCCTCCAAACACCCCCAGCAGACTTCCTCCAAACAAGAAAGGAAGTCATTACTGAAAACCTCACTTCTTCCATCCCAGAAAGCCATGCCTGACACTCTCTTTTTTTTTTCTTGGTAAAGGCAAAGGTGGGGGGAGGGGGAGGACATGGACCATTCTGTATCCCCCATCCGTGATATGTTCAGACCCCTCACACACAGAAAACACAGTCAAGGTTGATCTCTTCAGACCATGGGTTTCCTCTGGGAGCTCAGCAACAGAAACTCCCTAGGGAGAGCCTGCCTGCCACATTCAAAGGGTAAGTGGCATTAGCAGAAATTTCCAGAACCTAGGAAGGAAGGAAAACTGGGATGGCCTATGCTTAGAGTTGGAGGTGGGTTTCCAGACACTCATATAAGCCACCCCACTCTGAGCAGACTGATGACAGCTTTCTTGTTTACATCAACATAGGAAGAATACTGGTACGCTTACACGCAATCATGGCTGAAGACATTTCCTCTCCAGATGTCTGCTCCACAGTTCAAAGCTGGTTGACTTTATCTTCTACAAACGTGTACAGAATTCTTGGCTCCCTGTCTTTCCTATGTGCTAGTCAGCCTTGCTACACTTTTGTTGGTTTGCTAAGCATGGGAGCGTCACCCTGTACAGTATTGTCCTCAGAGGTGTTTCTCCTCCACCCCATCAGGCGGAGGCCTGCACAGCTTCAAAGCAGGGGTGGGAGAGGGGTGTCAATCATTCACATGTCACTCTTGGTGACATTTTTCACCACTAGGGGCCTCCCTAAGAGAAGTGATGGCTATTCGAAATTCCTTGATGCATTGGCCTCTGGAGTGCAGAACTGTTTATAGCCCACAGCTGCCCCATATTGGAATGGACTATGCCGTTGCAGACATCCTGAGGTAATTGTCCCTTTGTTGACAATATTTGAACCTGATCATGAAGGACATGACTCTACCACCCACGATGTCACCACCTCCAGCTTCCATCTTGGAGTCAGGAGAATAGAAAGTGGGTCAGTAGGTCCTGGAATGTGTACCCCTCCCTTCTCAGGATCGCAGCCCTCTCTTCTACGTTCCTCTCACTGCCCTATTCATACGCCCATCGGTGTCGGATGCAAGGGGTTAAAATATGCAAAGCATGCAGCTGCTGTGGGCTTGGAACATCACAGACACAACCTTCCTAGAAGGAATGAAGTAGGTCATGAGGTCATGGATATGAAAACTAGTAGCCAGTGTTTCTCCCTGAAGCCTTTTCGTCCCATGGCCCCGGGAGATGGATGAAGATATGTGGCTCTAAGCTGTTTCTCTCTTCATCTCTGGACTGTCCTTGCAATATAGACGAGCCAGCTGTTGAAAGGCATCTATATAATGTTTTGAGCCAACCATCTAAGAAGCTCTTTGGGCTTCTAGAAACTGGGATGGTTTTAAATCAACCTGTATTAGAATCCTTTTAAAATGGAGGATACATCTGCGGGTGGATACAAACTGCACTGATTAAGAGGAGGTACATGGGCGGGAAAGATGGCTCAGTGGTTAAGAACAACCAATGCCTGCTCTTACAGAGGACCCAGGTTTGGTTTCCATTCTGAGGCTCACAACTGTCTGTAATTCTACTTGCAGAGGATCGTATGCCTTCTGATGACTGTGGGCACTGTGTACATATAGTACACACACATACACTCAGGCATACACAATGAACATAAAAATAAATAAACATTTTAAAGAGATACATATGTACTGTACAGAGAGATGGATGGATGTGTGGGTATTTATAAAAATCGTTTGTCTTCATCTCCTGGCTTCCTCTAAAACTATGATAAACCCAAGATAATTCAGTCTCTTCATTTCAACAGTTCAGGCTGACCAGAAAGGACCAAACTTAAATCCGTGGCCAGCTACCAGCCCTAATCTTAAATTCCAAAGTGGTCTTATCTGGAGCATCGAATGCACGCTGGAAGAAGCCGGTGTGAGGCCAGGCACCGAACCCACATGGTACTTTTAAAGATACCATCAGAAGCTCTCTGTAGGCAGTAAGCCGGCTGCCTCTTGCTAGGTCATAGGGTGTGAGAAGGAAGTAAACAAGCTCCCACTCGAGCCAGGTCACCAATACAATGTAGGTTTCCCGAAGGTGTCAGGACTTGTGTCTGTTTCTCCCACCTAATTCCTGGACCTAACCCAGCGACTCTGCACCAATCATACGCTAAAGGAAGACAAGGCTCTGTCCGGGAACGGAAGTAAGCCCGTGAAGGAGCTGGCATCCACAGGAGGCCTGACAATGTCAAGATCACTTCCTGGTGACCCCAACTACTCTATCAGTAGCCATGGCAATAAACACTCAGGAGCACCTCTCCAGAGAAGACTTGGCTAATACTGCTAGCATCATACGCTACTGACTTCCAGTTGAAGGCGGAAACCGTCTTCCTGTTTCGTGCTGTTTAGAATGACCAGGCCTGGACAATATACCACTCTACAGGGACAGGCATTCTCGGGTGACCCAAGAATCCTTCAGAGGACTGTTCGGGTCTAATCTGACAAGCCCTAAGAACTTCATCGATGTGTGCAGGAGTGTTGTGGTTCACTCAAGGTCCAGGTTCTGGCTGACCTGGGAAAGCTTTAGTAATTACCACTGACAGTACCCATGAGCACATCTCTCCCGTGCGACCCCTCAACGATGTAAGTAGACCCACTGAAGCATAGGTTTCCAACTGGGGAGTTGGGTGCTCACTGGGTCTTACTGGGGCAGGGCTGGGGGAGACTCTGATCTCTACTAGCCTCCTTCTTTCTCTGACTTCCTCTTCCTTTTAGGAAAACACAGGGACGTGACAGGGAAAGCCCTCGGGGACTGACATTTCCTGGCTGCTAATTTGGTGCCTCTGAGCACTCTGAGGAAGGGACAGCAAGGTGATGCTGGGAACATAGAAGCCCAAAGTCATTGCCAGGGGCTACTGATTCAAGAACAGGAGGACAGCTACGGTGATGCATACCTGCAATCCTAACATTCAAAGAGCTGAGGCTATCGGGAGTTCAAGGTCAGCCTGTTGCAAGAGTTTCTTTCAAAAATAAACAAGTAGACAACAGTAAAATAACAGGATGCAAAGTGTGTCCTGAGCCCTCTCAGAGCTGGGAAGATGTTGGGAATACAGAGACCTTGTTGACTTTCATTCATTCATTCATTCATTCATTCATTCATTCACTTTGGATGCACTGGATGCTGGCTAGGTACAGATGCTGCTAGGTACGTGAGAACTGAAACCTGAACCCAGCAGATGGGATCCTTGCCGTCGAGAGTTTCCATTCCAGAAGAACCTAGAACTGGACAGGAATCTTATCCAACAAATATATGCTGAGTGTCCAAATGATGTCAAAAAATTGAACGAAGACAGAATAATAAAATTAAGCCTTAGAGATAGTAATCGCGCACCTCTATAATAAACCAAAATGTTAAATACAAGTATAAATCTGGAGTAACAGACTGAATTGTTAGATGAAGTTCATCTCTGAAATTCATCACTGGGATTTTTGTCCAAGGTCTTCTTCACCAGCCATTGGCATGCACCTTCTGGGGGTGGTCATTTGTATCGAGATAGCAGGCATGAGATGTGAGACACAGGACAGACACAACCTCCACTTACCCTGTGCCCCATCTGTGACTTGCCAAAGAGCACCTCAGAGGCATCCAGTCCATCAAACTTCCGATTTGGGGGCAAGCTAGCTCCTGCCAGAGCTATCACAGTGGGAAAGATGTCAAGCAAGCTGAAGAAAAAAAAAAGATACAGTTTACCTCAACTCTTCCAACCCTTTGCCCACTCCTCCTATGACAGGAACCTACCTGTACCAGACCAGAGCAAAAGTACAGCCCACACTGTCTATCTCTCTTAGGAGTTCTTCCTGAGATCTCTGCTCTAAGGGGCAGGATGTGGCCAGATGTTGTATAGGCTCAAATTCAGCTTTACCACTTATGTGACATCTACTGCCTCAGTTTCCTATCCTGTAAAACATGTGGTTTAATAACAACTGCCTCACAGGGTGGATGTGTGGGCAAAACACTTGGGGAAGACACGTAAAAGAGGAAGCCTGGCGCTTGCTGGTTGTTTGTCTGATAATTACTAACAGCACCACACCTTTGAACCCCAAAACTAAGAGCGAGCCACTGTGTTATCAGGAATAGCATTCGTCAGGGTTCCAGGTATCTGCAAGAAAACACTCAGTTCAACTTCCACCACCTGAGTCTCTCTCATGAAAATGTAGTCTTTAGGTGAAGAAATTTTAGTTATGATGTGTGAAACACTTCACGTCTGTCACTTGCCTTCGACTCTTTTCTCCCCATTACAAAACAGTGAATATTTTAGTTGTTTAAAAAAAAAACCAACAACAACTTAGGACATGCAGAAATACAAAAAGAAAAAGTAGGTCCACATAACTAGTCTGTCACTTGAGGCTATTAATTTTAATATTAAAAATATTACTATTAATTTTTTAAAATTCAAACTCTTACTTGTGTGTGTGTACAGGATATGTGTGTGAGTGCTTGCCCATATGTGTCTGTGTGGAGGACACAGGTCACCATCAGATGTTCTCCCCCTCTTTTTTGAGACAGGGTCTCTCACTATTTCAGCTTGTCTGAACAGTAAAGTTCCAGGGTCGCTTTCCCTCCAGCACCGGGGTTACAGGTGAGCTTGGTGTCCAGCTTGTAAGCAGATACTGCAGATCCAAATTCAGGCCTTCATCCCACAAAGCAAGAACTTTCCCCACAGAGCCATCTCCCCAGCTCCATCCACTAGTCATATTTTCGGTGGGTTTATAAATATGATTTTATTCATTTCTATTTTTTTTGTTGAGACAGTTTCTCATACCCAGACGCCTTGAACTCCTTACCCTCTTGCCTCCACTTTATGAGGGCTAAGATTGCAGGCTTGTGATCTGTGATGTTGTTTTAAAGTCATGTGGAACTTTACTACACTGCATACCTCCCACAAGCCTACTGGGCTCATATCATGAGATAGGGGTGGGTCATCAGGAAGAGCAGAAGGGCCAAAGAAACTGACAGCCAGTGGAACTTTGCCAGAGCCAGGGGGCTGGGCCAAGATGGATTCTGTCATGGGTTGGACTTTCCCAGAAAAGAGGTCCTGGTCCCCAGAGACCAGGACAGCATCAGACTTCAGGATCATGGGTGGGAAAGCCCTCAGGGCCAGGTCTTCCCAACAGATCCAACCTGAGTTCTAGAGAACAGCTCTCTGCCCTCCACAATGCTGCAGAAAGGACCCACCACATGTGTGGCATCTCTAATCTGCCCACCTCCTTCCTCTCTTCAGGGTTCTGCCTACGAGCCTGAGGCAGAGTTTCTCATTGACTATGGGACAAAGTGTTTCTATTTGCCTGTAGCTTTCACAGTTCACAAAACTGGTAGCTTATCTCTTGAGATAGGCATTCCAGGAGCTGGCATCCCACACTGGTGTGCAGTCAAGGCATGCAGAATCAGCACTCAACAGAGTACAGAACAGTCTGGAAACCTGTCCAGAGTCCAAGGTCCCTGCCACAAACCAGGAAACACACAGGTCTACAGTGTCTGAAAAGGTTGAGATGGTTTAGGGCTGTTCAAGCTCTCTCTCTCTCTCTCTCTCTCTCTCTCTCTCTCTCTCTCTCTCTC